AAAGTGGACTCAATTTGCATTATTTCTGGCAGTCTGTAAAGGCCCTACGATAATGTTAAGGTCTTTATTCACTGTTACTATGGCTGCATCTTCACGGCAGAAATAATCCAGTTTGACACGACTTTAACGGCCAATGGCACAGTACTATGGAATTCTGGGATTTGTAATTTGTGCTGGCACCAGAGCTCTCTGACAGTTATGTCTCACAGAACTACAATTCCCAGAATTCCACAACATTGAGCCACGGCTGTTAAAGTGGTGTCAAACTGGATTATTTCTGCCGTGTGGATACAGCCTATGAATTTTCCTGATGAATACTTGAGACCAGAGAGCAGTCAAATCTCAAAGAGTTTAGTCACTTCTCTTCTTCAGTTCTCTCCAAAATAGCCTCACGCATTTTCCATTGCCAGACTGATTAAAAAGCCCAGAAAGTCTCAGACTTTATTCCTGTTCCTTGTAATTTTATTTAGAAGATCCACACACCTGTTCTTTATCCAGCATATTTTCTGCCAGCTCCCAGAACAATCAGAGACTTTTTATACCAACTGCCCAGGTTGGTTTATTTTAACCCAGGATGAAATTGGGAAGAACAGGAACAAAACCTGGGATTTTTTAAAATCAGACTTGATGTGCCCTCATATGTGCATTTTGCCCAGCACTGAGGATGGGAGTCCTGGGAGTCCAGGACAATGGGGGTGAATAATATTTTACTAAATAAATGTTGATAACTCAATGGACCAGAGAGTGGTTATAATGTCTGCTATTAAATTGCAGTACAGTAGGCTCCTGTATCTGCTGAGGTTTGATTCCAAAATCCATGGATGCTCAAGTCCCATTAAATACAATGGCATACTAAAATGGTGTCCCTTATATAAAATGCCAAAATCAAGGTTTGCTCTTTCAGCATTATATTGTTGGGGAATATCTTCCAGGTGTGGATGATTGAATCCATGGATAAGGAGGCCAACTGTATATCCAGGTCTTCTAATATCTATTGACATGAATCAACCCAGATTCTACCTGGAGTATTTTCACTGTCTGAATAACCCCAAATACACACCGGAAACGTTACTATATGTTCTTTAAATAGATTTTAAAGTGATTTACCTTTAGCTTTAGCTCTACTCCTAGTGCCTAATAGCACTTTGCCATGTCTA